AAAAAAGACCCCAAGTAACTACAGCAATCTTAGGAAGACAAAGTTGAAGGGATCACAAAATCAGATATTAAACTATACTGCAAGGCCATTGTAATCAAAACAGCCTGGGACTGGCATAAGAATGGGCATATAGATCAGTGGAACAGAACAGAGATTCCAGAAATCAATCTACACCTTTGTAGTCAATTAATATTTCACAAAAGAGGCAAAAGCATACAATGGAATAAAGACAGCCTCTTCAATGAATGTGTTCTGAAAATTGAATAGGTACATGCAAAAAAATGAAACTACTTATACCATACAAAGAATAAACTCAAAATGGATAGAAGACTTAAATATAAGTCATGAAACCATAAAAATCTTAGAAGAAAACATAAGCAACAAAATCTTAGACATCTTACGTAGTAGAATTTTCACAGATACATCTCCTAGGGCAGTGGTTCTCAACCTGTGGGTTGCGACCCCTTTGGCGGTCGAAGGACTCTTTCACAGGGGTCGCCTAAGACCCTCTTGCATATCAGATATTTACATTACTATTCATAACAGTAGCAACATTACAGTTATGAAGTAGCAACGACAATAATTTTATGGTTGGGTCACAACATGAGGAACTGTATTTAAAGGGCCAGAAGGTTGAGAACCACTGTCCTAGGGCAAGAGAAACAAAGGAAAAAATAAACAAATGGAACTACAACAAACTAAAAAGCTTCTGCACAGAAAAAAAAAATCAATAAAATGAAAAGGGAACCCAGTGTATGGGAGAACATATTTGCCAATGATACAGGTGATAAGGGGTTGATTTCCAAAATATATGAAGAACATATACAGCTCAACAAAAGGAAGACACTCCATTTAAAACAGGGCAAAGGATCTGAATAGACACTTTTCCAAAGAGAACATACAGATGGCCAGTAGACAGATGAAAAAATGTTCAACATCACTGCCCAACTTTTTATTGAATTTATCAGGCATCTTGCCAATATCAGCTGTAAAAACTTACTTTAAATTTGAAGCATTCATCTGCTCTCCCATGATGGTAAATTGAGTTCTGAAATTTAAGGTTTTTTTACTCACATCTGTGGACCATTTTGAAGAGATGTACTTTTCCATCCACTAAAATGTGAGCTCCACGAAGGGAGAGCTTTTGCTCTGCTTTGTTCATTGCTGTGTTTCCAGCACCTGGAATAGTGCCTGACATATGTAAATAAGAACTAAAATATTTTTGAATGAATGAATTTATTAATAAGTCTATTGTTACTGATTAAAGATACAGAGGGAACATTGCCTTTATAACTAAGCTGAGGAGAATAATATTTTACTCTTATACCTTTAAATCCATGTTTTGCAAACTATTTCTCTGGGTCTCTTGTCAATTTTATTTTAATTAATTTGACCTATAAGCAGGGTCAAGAATCCCAAAAGCCACAACTAGAAGAAAGACTTAACTTTGTGTCACCATTTCTGAGGTAGGCTTTCTCTAGTTAGCTCCAGGGAAATATCTCATTTATCCAAAATAACCATAGGTGAGCATAGTTATCCCCAATCCGGGACTCATAGCAGGGCTTAGTTCAGTATATAGAACAGAGAAGTTATACAGAAGATTGAGTGGCTTGGTCACACCTATTATGGGAAAACTTGAGTGAAGCTGAACTCTGGGGTTGAAGTAGCATCATCGGGGTGTGGTCTGACGTAGCTCCTGAGGTTCAGGCTGAACTGGACTCCCAGTCCTGCACCCACTGCAGGCTCACCTGCCACATGTGCTTCAGATCCAGGACTAATGGACCTGAATTTTGATGGTAGATGGTAAAATACAGAATGCAGCATTTTTCTTCTACCTGTTTGCTGTGTGATTCTAGTATTCTCCCGTATGTATTTCATACTCTAAAAGAAGGGAAAGGGGGACATTTTTAATTTGGAGAGTTACTTGGCTAGAATAGAATTTCTAATTAAGGTTTTGTTGCTGTGATCATTGTTCTATAAGCATAAATTTTTAAGAATTGTAATGTTTAGTATTCAGTTCCCTAACTTAAGCATGAAGAAACACTAGCTGAAGCTTTCCACAATTGTTTAGGAAAGTTAGACTTACATGAAGTTAGTTTTCTCTACATTCACATCACCTTTATAGTTTTAATAACAATAGCATGATTTTCATCAGTCTTTAACATTTAGAAAGTAAGAGCTATGTGTTAAAAGCTCCTCAAGAAAGTAAATTCTAATGAAATTTGTTTCCTCTCCACCTCAGAGGGAACATGACCTCTAAACTTTGAATGTTGTACATAACAAAAGGCAAAGCTACAGCTGAAACTATTTTTAATGCAGCACAAGACTCAGTCTCTACTTTATCCTCTGTCTGCACTCATAGGATAGCTGGATATATAACTTTATGATTTAAAGTTATATTAGTCACTTTTCCTAAGAAGTGTGTGAAAGCTAAAAATCAAATAAATCTGATACTTTAGAAATAATGAAACCAGGTTAAATGTGAGGAAACCACACTGAGTACAACTACGCAACACATACAAACACACATATTAAACACGCATTTGCACACATTGACATTGCTGGGCCAATTGGAGCCCCCTCCTGGATTTAAGCATGGGTTTTGTTCCCTTGTCTGTTTTCTCAGGATGGGACAGGTCGGGAATGTCAAGGCAGGAAGAAAGCACTCTGGTTAAGCAGAGCCAAATGGAGAGTGGATGTGGGGAAAAGTCCTCTGTAGGGAGGAGATTGGTGTCTTAGCAGCTTTAATCAAGATCACCGTGACTCATGCCCAGACTCTTTTCATGCATTATCCTACTTCAGCCTCTCAATAAGCCCGTGAGAGGCGGAGGGCGGGGGCGGGCTAGGAGAGGTCAATGGGGGGAAAGGGAAGACCTATGTAATACTTTTTATAATAAATATTTTAAAAAGAGAGAGAGAGAGGTTAAGTAACTTTCCCCCAGGTTAGTGTCACAGCCCGGAGTCTAACTGGGCTCCTAACTGTAGAACCAAAGGCCTTGACACCTGGGTGTGTGCGCATTGATGACGCGAGTACCTGAGGAAGCCAAGGTGGGTGATGGTCTGGAGGCTGTTCAGTAAAATGTCACTTTTTGGGTTATCCTCCCACAACTTTTCTGTGTTTAGTATTTGCTTTAAATTTGGTCATTCTGCAGAAATAAACCATTTCGTGACATGCACTCCATTGTCTGGGACGGTTGAGTAGTTAACATCAGCTCGGGTAGTGCAGTTGGCTGTCAGGGCCATGCAGCCGGGGCTCAGTGACTAATTGCCTGCATCTCTCACTGGGGGAAATGGAGTCAGACCTCTGTGGGTGCCACTGAGGACGACGGCTCCTCAAATCTCAGTTCAGTCAGCCCTGACTACAAGCTGTTTGGAATCTGCCCCACACCTGGGTGCTTCAGGTCTGCAGAGATTTGGGCAGGATTTATGCATAGCATTTGAGGCTCCCCTATTTAGTTTTCTCCTAGGAATTACAGCCTCTGTGGAAACCTCCCCTCCCTTCTCTAGTTCTCCAAGCCAGTGGGAATGCAGGTTTCTCTCCACATTTCAGTCACCCACCACCCTGGGGCCTGTCTTCAGGCCAAACGCTATAAGAATAGAAAATTCACCCAGTGCCATGCCATTCCCTTCCTCCAAAGTGTCAACTTTTATCTCAAGTATTTCCCTTCTTTTGGTCCCTCTCTAGTGCCTTGGGTAGGCTTTTTAAAATCTTGTCCAGAGTTTATAATAGGTATTGTGTGTAGATGTTGGGGCTATAGGACAGGAGAGAGTGGCAGAAAGGTCTGAAAGGATCCTCAAAGAGCTGTCCTTGTAGCTATCAAATCCTGTGCACATCCATTAATTCTCCTCCTCCTCCTCCTCCTTCTCCTCCTTCTCCTCCTCCTCCTCTTCCTCCTCTTCCTCTTCCTCCTTTCTGTCTCACTATTTAATTGTGGTCTAATTTAATATCTTCAACAGTTTTTTGTGCCTAGTCTCATCTTTATATGTTGGTATGAAACATATATACTTTTTGCTTTAAGCCAGTGATGACGAACCTATGACACGCGGGTCAGAGGTGACACGTGAACCCATTTTTTTGGTTGATTTTTCTTTGTTAAATGGCATTTAAATATATAAAATTAATATCAAAAATATAAGTCTTTGTTTTACTATGGTTTCAAATATCAAAAAATTTCTATATGTGACACGGCACCAGAGTTAAGTTAGGGTTTTTCAAAATGCTGACACGCTGAGCTCAAAAGGTTCGCCATCACTGGCGTAGGGCATGACAGTGCCGGCCACCACGGTGTGGATTGTAGGTGTCCAAGTCACCAGGAAAGGCATGACTCGCACACACACACACAGACACTAGATGGAACAGCGCTTTCCTCACATAGAGAAGAGGCAGACAAGGCCAGCTTCAGTCGAGAACGTGGTTCCCTGTGGCCAGAAGAAGCC